GCCTAGTGTCAGAGCAGATGGAAAAACTCTCCATTATTTTAGACTGAGCAGTTTCCTTCAAATACACATGATGTCAGGTCATTCACTCATTCATTCAGGTTCCGTCTTGAGCCCCCAGCATCATGTGGGCATTACTGGAATAGGAATTGACAAGGCAGATACGGGGCTTGCCCCTGTGGGACTTAGATTCTAATGAAGACAGACAATAAAGTGTTTTTGAAATCCTATTGGTGATCAGTGCTACGAAGAAAACAGGGCGTGGGTCGTTACAGGGACAGAGAGGTTGGCTCCTTGCAGAAGAGCTGTATTCTAGCTGAGACCTCAATGAGGAACACAAGCGTGGGCTCCTGTCGGTCTAAGGGACTGGCCTTTTAGGCTAAGGGAACAGCTAGGACCAATGTAGAGAAGCAGCAGAGACACTGGAGTGTCCGAAACCCCGCGAGAGGAAAAGGTGATGAGAAATGAAGCTGGTGAAGTGGCCAGAGGCGGGACCACTCAAGGCCCTTTTGGACCATGGTGACACCTTTAGTTTTTGTTCTGACTATAAATGGAAGCCACCAACGGATTTTAAATGGGAGAATACATATCTTTAAGCAGAAGCAGAGAGAGCAGTTTTAGACCCTTGCCCTGGTCCCAGTGATAAATGATGGTGGGTGGTCACGACCAGGGGGTGACAGTGGGGGTGGTGTGAAGCTGCCAGACTTCTAATAGAAATTCTAGAGCCGGCTGGCCTTGCTGATAGACAGCACGTGGTATACCAGGCCAGAGGAGTCGAGGACAACTCCCAGACTTGAATTTGAGCATCGGAGAGAACGTGGATGTTCCCAGAGATCAGGATCCGTCAAAGGCCTGAAGGAACAGGGGCTCACTCAGCATCCAGCACCGAGCCTGCAGGACTGCCATGCGGAAGAGGGCGGGAAGTCTGGTTCCGTGTGATTCCAGAGGGACATGAGATCCACAGATGACAATTCCGGGAAGGGCAGTGGCAGGCTCGTTCAGAGAAAGGACTTTAGGATCATTTGTGACCGGCTGGGCCCCACTGCTAAGGGTGCCTTCAGTGTCAAGACCCTGTCCTACGTGTTCCCGGAGGCCGGGTGACTCCTATCCTACAGAGCGGGAGAGCCGACCCCATAGCCCAGTGTCTGGCTGCGTGGCTGCTCCTGTTTCAGCCCTGGAGTTGTCCGCTGCTTGTGATAAGCTAAGATAAAGCTCCCAGTGGGGTCCTGAGAGTTCTAGCTCTCTCCACACACAATGCCATTAGCTACCGGCAATGGGAGTGTCAGTTCAATAAACGGACTTGCCCACCACACTATCAAAAAAATAGCACGTGGGGTGCCTGGGTAGCTCAGTGGGTTAAAGCCTCTGCCTTCGGGTCAGGTCATGATCTCAGGGTCCTGGTATCGAGCCCCGCATCGGGCTCTCTGCTCAGTGGGGATCCTGCTTCCTCCTCTCTCTCTGCCTGCCTTTCTGCCTACTTGTGATCTCTGTCAAATAAATAAATAAAATCTTTAAAAAAAAAAAAATAGCACGTTCCTTCACTATCCTAATCCTCAGACCACACAGAAGTACAGCCAGTAAAGTAATTTGTGTGTAAATGTGCGCCAAGACCTGCTAACTAACCTTGTTAAAATAAGACAAACTCTTTTTTTTTTCCAGTTTAAATTTCACGGGAGCTACTTGTGTACCGTTTTTCTCTCTTTCCACTGGGCAGGACTGGCATTCCTCTGCCATCTGTCCTATTGGTCCCATTTTATGGGGTGCTTGCGGATTATTCGTATGATGTGACATTGGAATTTGGGGAATGTGGCTATCCTCAGATGACAAATGAACTTGGATGGAAGTCGGTTTTCATGTGTGTGTTTACATATTTGAGGACCTGGAGACATGAGGGGCTCCCTGGACATGGACGTCCTGGCTGCCAGCCTCCACTCTGCGGTCAGGAGCTCTTCTGACTCCCGGGTTTGCTCAGCACAGGCCCAACACTACACGTACCTCCATACGGTTTCTCCCGATCCCATGGGATAATTCCTTATGTGGTGCCAGCATAGAGCCCACCACACCAAGTGGGGGTCAGCCACAGACTAAGTTGTGAAGTCACATTTAGGATTCTGTTTTATCTAACTTAAAAACTTGCCTCTTCTCCAGTCAACCTCTCTTATCCACCAGCGAATGAATGAATGAATGGACGGATGCCCGCATGGACATGTGGAGTGACATTTGATTTCAGGTCAAAGAACTCAAACAGAGAAATACATAAAGTCCCCAAACCTTAACAACCCTCCCTTCAACTACCATAAAGATGGAAGAGTGGTTTTAATTTTTCAAAAACATAGTTATGTAGAAATAAACGTATATAAACCAATGTATTGTTCGAGGGTTTTCTGAGAGACAGAGGCTCACATACTCCTTGAGTTTTTGTTTGTCTAGGAGAGCTTCCATTTTAACACAGAAATAGCCACCTCGTTCTGAGCCCTTGGCGGGAGTGTGATTACGCCATGCGCTCATGGCTGGATGTTTGAGGTGATTTCCACGGTTTCTGCTATTATGGACTTTGTAGGATCTAGCTGGAACAATTTGAATTTAATATTAAGAGATCCTTTTGAGCTACGATTATTCGAGCGCGATCCCAGGCGTGAGAATTTCTGTGAAGCAGATTGGTCTCTGTGGCTGCGCGGTGCCCCGGCCAATGTGTACTTTCAGTCTTGACACACTCGGTTGTGCGAGTATTTTACGGCATATGGATGTCCCTGTCACCAGTATCGGACATGACCCATATTTTCATTATTTGGTGACCTGATGAATTGGAAGAGTAGATCATGTTACTTAATGTGTTGTTCCCTAACTACTAAGTTACAGATGCGTAGCACTGTCTTAGAGAGGGCATCCAGGTTTCATGGATGGCCTGTCCTTGTCCCTGGCTTATTTTGAAATTAGGCTGTTTTTCTTTTTCACACTGTTCTACAGAATCCTTCTAAAATACGGTCCCTAATCTTGGGTTCTAAGTGTAAAATTCTCTCAACTGCCCCATCTTTAATTCTGTTTATTGTGTATTCTGTGTTACAGAGGTTTGAATATTTAATTATTAATCTCTGTGGATTCAAATTCCGTTTTCCCAAGGCATGTGAATTTGGGTTTCACTTAGGAAGGTTGTCTCTAGCCCCTGAGCTTTAGGACTAGTCTCCTATCTCTATGAATACTTACATTTCTTTTCTTGTTTATAGTTTATTCATCTGTAATTTATTTATTGTGTGATGTGAAGGGATTGTACCATCTGTTTGTAACTTGCCCATTTGGCACCGATTTTGAATGCCCTTTGACTCCGTTAATTTCCCATATATGCAAGGACACATTTCCAGACTCTCCCGTTGACCCATTTATCTGGTTCTGTGCGAATTACATACAGTTTTACTACTGTAATTTTATAGTGTGTTTTGGTATCTAGTGTATCAGATTCTCACTATTCCTTTTCTTCAAAATTGTCTTGCTACGTATTTTTTCTTTCATGTAAACACCAGAATAAGTGTGTTATTTTTTTATAAGTTTGTCACCTTTTTTTAAAAAGAAATATTTGGCATTGTGTTATATTTGATTTTTGATTAAGTAGACAAGATTGCCATCTTTTTTGCAATCTTTTCTGGCTTTCAAAAATGACATCCTGTCAGAAATCTTAGGTGTAAAAATTGAATCCACAGAGTTTTACCACCTGGAAGGAAATAAGAGTGAATTGCTTTAAAACAGGGTAAAGGGAAAACTTTCTACCTATGGTTCAAAGTCCAGATGCAGTAAGGGATTTACATAATCTGAATGCAAATATAAAGACTTCTTTGCATAAGAAAAGTCAAAAGGTGAATGACAGAGAGAAAATATGTACAACACGTACCACGAATAAAGGACTAACACTAAAATGTCAATCATGATGCTGTCACTTCACTGCATTGTGCAGAGAAGTAAATGGTTGTGCTTAGTGCTACTAATGATTGTAAAAGCTGTGTCAGAATATTAATTTTAATGTTATATCATGTATATAATATATAAAACAAGTGTTAGTGCCCCTCCCCTCTGAAATTCAGCTCACTGGTTCAGACCTTTTGTGGGGAGGTTCATTTGTCCTGGGCAGGTCACGACCAAATTCTGGGACACTCTCGGGACCTACAACTAAGATGTGCCATTTTGTCTTCCACTGTCTTCCTGTATTCACAGAACAAACCTATTTTTTACTTTCTCTCTGCTACCGCTTGTCGTGGCATCTTAAGATCCTTCAATATAATTTGTCCATCCCTGTGGACATCCCATAATAGTAATTATTAAGTTAATTGTGACTTAATTTGCAATTCCGTCAGTGTTGCCAACCCACTGCGTTCCTCTCTCATCCTCCTACAACCAGGGCTGGGAGCAGTACGTTCTCCTGCGTCTGTAGCTCATCCTGGACCAGGGGACTTCTTGTGACTTTGATGAAATGACAGGCCTTCAGACTGACAGGACTTTAGAGCTCACTAGTCCAGCTTCTTCAACAGAAAGATAAAGACCTGAGCTGTAGAAACTGCTTACAAACTCCGTACTCTGCATGAAGTACTCAGCTAGGTAGATAGGCTAGCTACACGGCCTAGAATGTGTTGTGCTGTATGGACAACTTACATAGTTATACAGACTTTGCCTTGTACCCGAGAGTATTTTCTGTAGCTAGCAGAGATTAGAATTCTGGTCTTTCATACCACAGACTGGCAAACTTCCCACCCTAACGTAGTATCTTGCCATGATGGCAACACCCTATATGTCCAGTATCTATAGGAATATGTGCCTGCTGAGCCCTTAAAATGTGCTGGTGTGACAGGAACTGAATTATTTTACTTCAAGTAGCTACATGTGCTATGTGGACGTACAGACAGGGCAGCTCTAAGCCACGTAAGATTTTAAAATAGGACCTTGCATAAATAAAAAGGTTGCTATTCTGCTGTATGGTTGGCCGTTGTAAATGCTAACCCGCTTTTCTCTTTCTCTAGATTCAGTCACTCAGCACAAGGTCTGTGCCTTTGACAACTACCTGTTGCCGCAATGACGGAGCCACCAGTCAACACCAGGGGCTGCTGCCATTAGCTCACAAAGTTGTCTCTGGACACTGACATAAGCAAACACTCAGAGAAGGAATGGACATAGAAGCGATGCCTTTTTATATCATCACATGTGTGCCTTGTGGTTTTTATATAAAGAACCTCCTCCGTTTGCCTTTCTAATGACTGAGTTTGTGCTCTAAAGAAGCATTGACCAGCTCTATTTGGGCCTTTTCTATGTAATGCCAATCTTAGTATTTTAATGATGATCATGATTAAAAGGTCACAGAACCTTGGTCATAGAAGCACCATACTGTTAAATAAAGAGTGGGAATTCCTTTAAGTTGTTTTATTATGAGATCAAAGAACACCTTAAGTTTCCTGGTTGGACTCAAAGATCTTTGGACTCAAAGATCTTCACTGACATTTCATATCCTAGACACGAAGGTTATCAATCAGTTATTAGGGTTACTTTTTACCTACTTGAGATTCTTCTCAAAGTAACTAATAAAGACAGGTGTGGGAGCTTTGCAGTAATTAATGCCACTAGAAGAGCCTGCTTCTCTGGGTTAGTTTATGGTGAGGAGAGAATTACCAATGAGAGATCATGGCCTCCACTGGCTACACAATGCTTGCCGTTCCTTAGAGGAAATTGGCAGTAGGCTGAATCACATACACATTAACTGGTCACCTTCTAAAGGAGAGAAATGCTAAGTCCTCACAAGGCTGAAGGTTCCACGAAGACTTCCTCCTGGTACCATTCCCTCCCCATGTTACCTGTTCTTCATCTCTGCTGTTATTCCAACCTTAATAAATTTCAAGTCCTTCAACAAATTTGCGTAACAGCTTCTACAATAAACCTTTGAAGAAGGAGATAACAATGTGCAGGGAAATAAGGGTTTCCTCTTAGTTTTAATATTAGATGCCCCCAGACAATCCCCTACTATTACTCGAGCCCCAAGAGCCTCTGTACAACTCAGCAGGCCTCTGCCCCCTCCTTCCACGTTATAAACCCTGTTTTGCGATATCCACACCTTGAAGCTCAGGTACTTGGCAGAGCTCCTACAACACCAAAGATTCCCAGGAGGCTGATGAAAATTGTGCCGACATGTTAGGGACTGTCCCCTACCCCATCAGCCACAGATGACCACCCAGGCCTGCATCGTCAGTGTCAAGTTCTGATTCCTAATGCTGGCCTGCCAGTGACTGGTTGAGATTCTTTCTAAAAAGTAACATTTTAGGAGGATGCTAATTTGGGCCAGGAATTACACTAAGCATTGTATACTTTGTATACACTAAGCATTGTATACACCAAGCATATGTATACCTCATGCAATCCCCTAATAATCCTAGAAGTTAGTTGCTACAGGTTGGTAATCCCTTACCTGAAACACAGAGCTAAGAAGTATCTCAGAGCTCTCTATATTTTAATTTTGAAAGGTATGTGGCTCTCAGCATTTCTTTGTGAGATTGTACTGCTGATTACACCTAGAGAAGGCATCAAGAAAAAGGAATTAAGGCATGTAGATTGGAAATGAAGTAAAACTATTCTCAAAGGTTACTACTACATGTAGAAAATAAGAAGGCATCAAAGATAATATGGAATAAATGAGCAAGGTAAGCAAGATTTACAATCAATATACAAAACTGAATTGTGTTTCTGTGCACTGCAATACATAATTCAAAAATGGAATTAAGAATACAATTCCATTTACTATAGCAACTAAAAATAAATTCAATAGGAAAAAAATTCAGGAAATGTAATACATGTATACTGAAACCTATCACTGCTGAGAAAAACGTCAAAATATGCCAAATTTTTGGATTAGAAGACTCAATATTGATGTCAGTTCTCCTCAAATTCATCTATGGATTAAATATAATCATCAAAATCCCAGGTGGCTTTTTTTGTTGCGTTTGAAAATCTGATGCTAAAAATTGATATGAAAATGCAAAGAAACCCTAGTAGACAAAACAGTTTTTTAGAAAAAGCTATGTTGGAAGATTTACTCTGCTGGATTTCAAAATGTACTATAAAATTATAGCAGCCAAGAAGTGTGGTGTTGGCACAAAAATGGGATGTAGATCAAGGGAACAAAATAGAGAATCTAAGTATAAATCTTAATATTTATGGTCAGTTGAATTTCAACAAAGGTGCCAGGCTGTGCAATGCAGTAGGATATTCCTTACAACAAATGTCATGGAAAAAGAAAAACAAGAAGAAAAAAATACACTTATATCCTTCACATGCAAAAACAAAAGAAAATATGTGTAGATCCTTACCTCATACCATACACAAAAATTAACTCAAAATGGACCAGAAACCCAGGTCAGGGCTTGCCAACCTCAGCACCACTGACATCCTGGATGAGATCATTCTTTGCTGTTGGGGAGCTGTCCCATGCATTGTAGTACATGTAACACCATCACTGGTCTCTAGCTACTAGACACTAATAATACACCCCACCCAGTTCTGACAATCCAAATGGTCTCCAGAGAGCAAAATTCTCATCTGAGAACCACTGATGTTCATAAAACTGACATTATAAAATATCTAGAAGAAACCACAGCAGGAAATCTTTCTCAGATTAGGTTAGGCAAAGATGTCTTAGATATGAAATAGATACTAAAGGCACAATTCACAAATGAATCAGGCCTCAAACTTCCTTTTGTGTGTGTGTGTGTGTGTGTGTGTTCTTCAGAAGAAACCATAAGAAAATGAAAAGACAAGCCACAGACTAGAAGAAAATGCAAACCCATATATCTAATAAAGCAGTTTTATCTAGACTGTGTAAAGAACTATTCATTAAGAAGATAAAAAATGGAAAAAGACATTTCACACAAGAACATACAGAAATGATTATAAACACAAAAAGGGGCTCAACATTATTAGTCATTGGAGAAACAAGCTAAAAGCACAATGAGATACCCACATGCCCTCTGGAATGGCTATAACTAAGAATTGTGGCAACACCAATATGTGGAGAAACTAGAACCCTCATATACTGCTGGTGTGACTACAAAAATGGTACAGTCCCTTTGAAACCTGTTTGGCAGTTTCTTTTAAAAATTAAACCTACAGAAAAAAAGAAAGAAAGAAAATTAAACATACATTACCATATGACCCAGCAACTTCACTCTTAGAGAAATGAAAATGTGTCTACACCAGGAATTGTACACAAATGTTCACAGCAACATTATTCACAACAGCCCCAAACTGGAGACAATCCATCATTGAAAAATGGATATGCAAAATGTGTACATACATGTAAAAGACAGCATGCCACAACACAGATCATCCCCAAAGACACACAACAAGTGAAAGAAGCCAGACTCAAAATATTACATGGTATATGATGCTATCTGGATAAAAATGCTAGCGAAGTCAAAACCATAAAGGCAGAAAGACACATGAATGTTTCTGTACTGGGGGTAGGAGTGGGAAGAGACCACTAACATTTTGGGGTGATGTTCTGAAACTGGGTCAGGATTTTTGTTACACAACCACATGCACTGACTGAGATTGTTGAATGGCACACTTTCCCTGGGGCAATTTTATGGTGCATAATACATCCTTAAAGCTGTTTAAAAGAAGAAACAGTTGTGTGGCGACTGTGGCATGGTACCTCTAGGATCGCACTTGACAACCTTCCGTTCTGCTGTAATGAGCACAGTTAGCTGACAGCCTTCAACCACCAATGGTCAGCATCCTGGCCTCATCCTTCCAAGCCAAGGCCTTGTCTTTCTGGGCAGTCAGTACCCAGCCAAGACCTGAGCCCAATGGGGCTCAGGAACCCAGCGATTCTGCTAATACAAGAATCTGCCAGACGTCCTGCAGCTTTTCCTTATGGGATCCTGCTTCATCCCCCCTGAATTTCTCACAGGAGTTATCCCCAGTAAGACTCTGGCTCTCCTAACTCCTGCCAGGGTCAGCTACCTGGCGGCCCACCCAACACAGAGTACTATGATGTGTACAATGCCCTGCGCAACCCCAAGCCAGCACCTGTACCTAATATTTCTGCAATGACACATCAGTTATGTGGGATACCCTAGAACTATTCATAGTCCCATCTATATTCAGGTCCGATTTGCCTCTAATCCATTTACAAAACCTTCTATTTTTCAGACCGTTTGGACTCTGGAGTTGTGGTTAAGGGACTGTGGGACTCATTATTATCTATGAATACTCTATCTGGACATTACATAACTTGCACAGACTCACATAAAACCGTTGATGGAAGAACTGGTGTTTGAATGTCCCTACACAGTACTCCAAACTCACTTGGGCTCAGCAGTGCAACTCTGAGGTGCTGGTGGACTGGTAAGAATCAATTTTAAAAATGTTGAGTTAGTGCCCACCACGTGAAGATCACTATTCTAAATGCTGCACATGCTTTGTGTCCAGTAGACATCAATATCCCAAGGTCCTTAAACTTGAAATCAAAGTATTTCCAAGAAACCTTAATTAGCAATTACTTCTAGCTTTTTTAAAAAAATAAGAAAGCTATTCAAATGATGTTGCATGAAATAATAGGTAACAATAGGTAAAACAGATCCCTGATTAAACTCTGATTAAAAATTGGGAGGGGAAGTGGGAAGGTTAGAGATCCTTACCCACGGATCCTGTCCTTCTGCCCCCCAAGGATAAACTCCACGATGTCTCTGCGAGTACTAACGAGAAAGCCCCATCGAGGCCAGTCTTTACTGACAGGAAGCTGACACTCCAAAGCCATTCAACTGGCTGAGCAGTAATTCTATGAAAAGAACCTAAGCATCAGGACTCCTTTGCGCCCAAGAGGACAGAAACCAAACTGTCTATACATAAAAGATAGAGTCAAACACCACACACTGGAAAGATGAATCCCAAATACGATTTCATCAGATGCAATTAAAGCTTCTTTGTGTTGTGAAAGCCACTCCCATTATTTTGTGTATACACTGCAGCCGTTTTGGACAGAACATTTCCCACTATATGTTATATTAAGTATTACCAACATCTCGTGGTTTTAGAAATGCCATTTAAAGGCTTAAGAGATTTAATTTCCTCATAGAAATTATTACAATACGGGGACCTGGATGGCTCAGTCAGTTAAACATCTGACTCCCGGTTTCAGCTCATGTCATGATCTCAAGGGTTGTGAGACCGAGTTCTCCCTGCATCTGGCTGGGTGCTCAGCGGAGACCCTCCTTGGGGTTCTCTCCCTCTGCTCCTCCCTGGACTTGTGCAACAGAGGGTTGCACAGTCACTCTCTCTCTCTCCAATTAATCAATTTAAAAAAATTATCATCACAATAGATTTACTTATTTACAACTATGCCCTCTACCAATTGTGTTTGAA